CCCCGCCGCCGCCGCCGCCGCCGCCGCCGCCGCCGCCGCCACCACCACTGGGCTGAAACCTGTCACTCTTTTTTTTTAATTTAATTAACATTTTTTTTCATTTATTTTACATGCTGACCACAGTTTCTCCTCCCATCTACTCACCCCCACCCTGGTTTACCCCCTCCTGTCCCCCCTCCTCCCCATCCACTCCTCTTCTGTTTCCATTCAGAATGGGGTCAGGGCTCCCAGGGGCTTGCACAAAGCATGGCCCATCAAGTTGAGGCGGGACTGAGCTCCTCCCTCCCCTTGTGTCAAGGCTGGACAAAGTCATCCAGCATGGGGAAGAGGTTCCTAAAAGCCAGCTAAGCACCAGAGACAGGTCCTGATCCCACTGCTCGGAGTCTCACGAACAGACCAAGCTACACAACTGTCACACACAGGCAGAGGGCCTAGGTTGGTCTCATGCAGGCTCCCTAACTGTTGGTCCCACAAGCTCAGGCCAGCTGTCTCTGTGGGTTCCCCAGTCATGACATCGACCCCCCCCCCCCCCCCCGTGACTCATACAATCCCTCCTCCCTTTCTTCAGGAGGACTCATGGAGATTGGCCCAAGTGCTTGACTGTGGATCTCTGCATCTGCTTCCCTCAGTTACTGGGTAAAGGCTCTCTGATGACAATTAGGATAGTCACCAATCTGATTACTGTAGAAAGCCAGTTCAGGCACCCTCTCCACTATTGTTAGGAGTCTTAGCCGGGGTCATCCTTGTGGATTCCTGGGAATTTCCCTGGCACCAGGTTTCTCTCTACACCAAGATGCCCACCCCCAATCAAGACATTTCTTTCCTTACTTTCCGCTCTGTCCAGCCCCCAATCCACCTCCCGCTCCCAGCCCACCCAACTTGCTCCCTCAAGTTCCCATCCTTTCCTGGACCTCTGTCCCCATTTTCCCAGGAGATCTCTTCTATTTCCCCTTCCCAGAGAAGTCCATGTGCCCCTCTTTGGGCCCTCTTTGTTATCTAGTGTCTCTGGGGCTGTGGACTGTAGAAACCTGTCACTCTTATTCAGTGTGATTGGAGGCTCCCTGGTGGTCTGGGAAAGAGCATATTAATGGGACAGAGGTAGCAGAAGCTTGTTTTAAGCAGGTTAAGGAGTGAGTGAGCTGAAAGGATTCACATATAAATGATGGAGCAGAGCTGGAAAGATGGCTTAACCTCCTAAGTGTGGGGACCTGAGTTAGCAAGCCCAGTATTCATATGAGGGCCAGGCATGGTGGTGAATGTCTGTAAATTCAGCTCTGAGGAGGCAGAGGCTGGAAATTCCCTGGAGCTCAATGATCAGTCAGTCTGAAATGGTGAACTCCAGGCTCAGTGAGAGACCCTGCCTCGAAGAATAAATGGAGAACAGTGGAGGAGGATGACCAGTATTGACCTCTGGCCTCAACATATTTGTGTACGGGAGAGCACACCCATCCATAGGCACACACATACACACACACACACACACACACACACACACACACACCAATAAAGAGAAAAATGACTATACACAGTATACATGTTGAAGACTGGTGGAAACTATCGCCAGCTTCTATGGTGAACTAGGAGACAGCTGGAAGGACGAGGTGAAAGCAGTGTATTTGTTTTGTTGTTTGTTTGTAATCTGCTTTCACTGAATGAATGACATCACATTCAAATTACAGTGTGTGTGTGTGTGTGTGTGTGTGTGTGTGTGTGTGTGTGTGTGTAGGTCAAAGGTTAGTGTTAGGGATGGAACTCAAGTTGTCAGCCTTGACAGCAAGTCTCTTTACCTGCTAAGCCATCTTGCTGGTCCAAAAATAACAGGATTTTTTTTTTTTTATGAGACAAGACTCTCTATATAGTCCTTGTTGGAACTTGCTATGTAGATCAGTCTGGCCTTGAACTCAGAGAGGTTGCCTGCCTCTGTCTCCCTGGGATTAAAGACGTGCAGCGCCCCACCTCCAGGAAATTCTTAGAGAGATGTCTCTTTGGAGTATAGAAGTTAGCGTAAGTAAGGAGAGCATGAATAGTCCAGCGGTCAAGGCATGAGTGTTAAGATGAGCCCTCAGCCTGTCGCATGGCCGTGACTGTTGCATGGCTGTGACTGTCGCATGGCTGTGACCGCAGGAGACCTGGATAATTAGCAGCAGTGTCAGGTGTATTATCAAAGACGAGATGGACAAATTGCGACCGACAATTCTAGGGCTTAGATCCTGAACTTAGAGAACACATGACGTGCAATGTTTCATTTGAAATAAATTGGTTTCTTGTGAAGAATAATTTTCTGTCTGTTTAATATTAGTCTTTTTGATACAAAACAGTGAATATAGACAATATTTTCCAAGAAGGACCACAGGCTGCCAGCAGGTGTTAACCTCATAGTCCTGCTGGGTTTCTCTGTGCTCAACATTCGTGGACAGCCTGCCACCTGCCTCCAGTACTGTTACTATGACAACCTGTCTAGTGATTTCTAGTGATTCTGCCCCTTGGAGACATGTGATCCCCAGTCCTGTGGCAGAGCCTATAGGCCACGCACATTCGGCCTGAATTCAGGCTAGGATTTTATTTATTGTTAGTGCTAGAGCAGTTTTCCACTTCCTGTTAAGTACAGAAAGAATACAAAAGATGCATTTCCTGCCGATAGGAAGAGGAACTAAATATGAGCATGTAACAGCCGTTGTGCACGGAATGTCTTTCCTATTGGAAAAAGCTGGCTGGAAGGATGCATCAGAGAACTCCGTCACATGGCTGTGATCTTGGGGGCATAGTGTAAGACAGCTCTCTTGATTGGGAACCAAGAAGAGAGTGGTCCACCTCCTGGCCAGTTTGTGGGTGTGCTAGCTGCTTCTATGATACGGTAAAGCTAATGCTGGGCTACATCCAAGTTAGAAGGACTCATTCTGCTGACCTGGGGGCCATCTGGCTTCTTCAGGGGTTGAGTGTGACTGTGTAAAGTTGTTCAGACATGTGGCAGCATCTGCAACTGAAGGAGTTTTCTGCCATGCCAGAGTGAAGCCTGCCACAGCAACAGGTCGTCAGTCAGTTAACCACACATTAACGTTGGATCAACTCTCTGTATGGTCTGCTCACGTGTCAGTGGACAGTTCACAGCACCCCACACCGTTTTAGCTTTTGACACTGCTGAGTCACAGAGACACTTCACTGATGCGTTATTTTCCTATGTTTGTGCGTAGTAGTGAGGCTCTTATTTTAATTAGTGCAACTGACTTCTAATCCATCAGATCAAGTACAGATCAGAAGAGAACACTTAGTCTATCATTAACTTTGTTAACTGATACCAGCCATTCTACTTGTCATGATTACACTTTGATTTCCCCAATTAAACATTTGTTCAGAGTCTGTAAGACTGTGGATTTGACCTAAGAGATTAGGCACAGCTATTGTTCTCCATAAAATTTTTCTAGCTTCTATTACACTTCTGTTTGATTAAAAAGCCCCCCTATTATTCTCTTCCTCAAGCTTCTCAAGCAAATAACCTAAAATTAATTATAACCATATCATTGATAGTAATATCCATTCTCTGGTTCTCAGTTGATAAAATTACTTTAATTCAATTATTTGCCTTCCATTTTATTCCTCCATTCATCAGCAGTCCTAGTAATTTTTCGCCTTTTATGTCTTCATGAAACAGGCTCAAACGACCCATGAGGAATGCATTCATATTCCGACACATTCCCATTTCTCTCCGACAATTCAATTACCAATCTTTTCAGGTTTCCTGTTTTTGATCCTTCTTTCTGTAGTGTATTCTTATCTAAGCCCAGGAGAGCCAGACAGTTATATCCTTGAAGTTCCCCTTCACTCGCTGCCACGTTAGAATTTGTCTTCATTGCCTAAGCATTCTTGCTCTCAATTTCTAACAATCTAGACAGACTGTTTGCCTCACATTTCCCATTCTCCTCCTCTCAGCTCACCTACCCCGAGTTTCCCACCAGTGAAGTCTGATATTCTGACCATTCAGCCAATGCCTCTCCTGAAGTCTAGTGGCTGATGGCCCCCCTGTAGATGTAACCAACCGTCTTGTTAAATAAGAAACACAGAACCAATGCAAAGAAGAAAGCCAAAAGGTCAGAGCTAAGAGCTAAAACCTTACCCTTCCTCCTGCGGTGGTCCTACCTCTCCAAACCAGAGCTACTTCCTGTGTGTCTGTCTTTTTATAGTGTTTCTGTTCTGCCTTCTCATTGGTTGTAAACCCAACCACATGACCGCCTCGTCACAGCCTGTCTGTATAGACCTCCAGGTTTTCTATTGATTGGTATTGAGATTAAAGGCGTGTGTATCCAATGCTGGCTGTATCCCTGAACACACAGAGACTTACCTAGCTCTGCCTACCAAGTGCTGGGATTACAAGCGTATGCCACCACTGCCCTGCTTTCATATGGCTTGCTAATAGCTCTGAACCCCAGGCAACTTTATTTATTAACATACAAATAACATTTGAATACAAATAAAATATCACCATACCACACTGACGTGGATGGAGGCCAAGGATCAAACAATCCTTCATCACAGGTGGACACATAACCTTAGCCTGCTGGGTCTCCGTTGTTTTCATCCTAATTCCTCTTCCAACCTTTCTAAATAACAATGATGAAGAGCCCTCATGGCACAGCAAACACTTTTAGATCTTGTAAACTGAAGAACGGAGATTCGGCTTGCCGGAACAACAAAGAAAGAGTAATCACTATCGGAACCGGGAGCTTAAACCAGTCCTGATTTCTGTTCTTGAGATCTATATTTCTTTCTTTTTAAAAAGCATTCTTTTGCACTTGTGTTTTATTTTCATCTATTATCTATCATCTATCTATCTATCTACCTATCTATCTATCTATCTATCTATCTATCCATCCATCCATCCATCCATCCATCCATCCATCTATCATCTATCTATCTATCTATCTATCTATCTATCTATCTATCTATCTATCTATCATCTATTTTTTGAGACCTAGTTTCTCTGTGTAGCTCTGGCTGTCCTGGATCTCGCTCTGTAGACCAGGCGGGCCTCAAACTCACAGAGATCCACCTGCCCCTGCCTCCCGAGTGCTGGGATTAAAGGCGTGTGCCACCACTGCCTGCATTGTTTTAAAATTTTTTGTTTTATAGATGTTTTGCTTACATGTATGTCTGTACCATGTGCTATGTGTGTAGTGCCTGCAAAGGCCAGAAAGGGTGCATCAAATCTCCTAGAACTGGAGTCACAGACAGTTGTGAGCTGCCATGTGGGTGCTGGGAATTGAACCCAGGTCATCTGGAACAGCAACCAGTGCTCATTACCACTGAGCCTTCTCTTTAGCCCCATATTTTTATTTCTCAAGTGCAATGTCAGTATCTAAATTTCTCCCTAAATTTTATTAACATACATATATGATGCCAATTACATATTATTTATGTTACATCATACATTGTACATACATACATATAAACATGCATCAAGTGCATGACCCTATGCAAATAAACAAGTACAGTAAACTATAGTACATGAAACATTAATGTATTAATCTTCAAAAATTACTTACAACATGAATATCCTTTTTCAAATTAAACCTTTGATTTTTACACATTACATATTAGTCATCCACACATGGCACATTAACTAAAATCTATCGTTGTCAATACGAATGGCATCTTCCAAATTTATCTCTTGATTTTGTCTCTAGAAGCCATTATCTGTCTTGGAAATTCTCTCATGCCATTCCAAGCTCCTACCACCTAGCTTACATGTGGGGGTTTCTGATCTGAGACTGTAGCTCACACCTAATTCTTGCTCAGAGCCAAGACATCAGGACGCTTGCTTGTTCCTCTTAACACTCATCACCTCACACTGGGTGTTGTTTGTTTTTAGGACGTGACTCAGCATGACACAGACAGTTATCATGTAGCTGGGCCTTTAATATTGTTTTCACATACAAATCAGGAGGTGCTAATTTTCCACATTTGTTGGATGTGATAAACATGAACTCACATTTAGGGATAAGCCAGTGTAGGTGTGTGTACACCTGCCTCTGCATATATGCATTCCATGACTATGCAGGCAACCCACCCCCTTACCTCCTCTTCCACTTCGCCTCTTCGTTTCTAGTAAAGTCAGATCACACAGAAACCTACCTCTTGCCTGCCCCCAACAGTCTATGTACAGAGTTTAATCCTGACAAGCTGTAACTAGCCAGCCTCTCAGTTAGATGACTGCTTTCGTTGTCTGTTTAAGACAGGCCTCCCGAGCTAAAACGTCTTCTTTTCTTTATAAGGTCCTGAAGTATGCTCCCAACGCTGAGCACAGCACTCCAGCTCAGCCAGGTTCCTTAAGAGAAAAGCTTTTTGATTTCAATCCCCAACACAACTACCCTTTCAATATTTGTTGGTGTAGCTTAATTTCAAAAACAAAGGCCTGAAAATGCTTAGCTGGGTCACTCAACCTCATAAGCTTTAAAGGTTTAGGTCCTGGGTCCTTTATTAAATTTTCGTAAACTTAGACTCACAAGTATTCTCACTCTGTGAAGAATGTCCTCTAGATCATAATTATTATTTTTAATGTCATTACCTATTTTTTTTATTTGAATGTGGGAGTTGTGCATGGTATGATGAGCTCATGTGGATCAGAGGACAGCTTGGAGAAGTTGGTTCTCTCTTTCCACCGTGTGGTTCTGGGGTATCCAACATGAGTTGGGGGATCATCAGGTGTGGTGGTAATCTAATTGTACTGAAATGTGATTTTGATTGTATGTTAATAAATAAAGTTGTCCGGGGGTCAGAGCTATTAGAGCCATAGCAAGAGTGTGGCGGTGG